GAAGAAACTCGCGTAGTGTAGAGGGCGGATGATGCCGATGTAACGCTCAACCAACATCAATCCCAGGCCCAGCACGGAGTGGGCCAAGAAAGAATTGAGAAAAAAGTAATGGGCCCACTTGCAGTGGTGCTCCAAGATCAAGTCGGAGGTACACACTGTGTTATTTCCACTGTAATGTTGGCGAATATATTCTGGGTACATGCTCCATGTCCATGCTTCCAAAGTGCTACACAGAGATGTCAATGCATCTGCAAGAGCAAGATTCAGTATGAACAGGTTGGTAACAGTGTGCAGTGTCTTTGTGTGCCATATAGTCGCACAGACCAGCACATTTCCAATCATTCCCAAAACCCCAACAACTTTGTTCAAAATAAAGCACAAAAGGGACAGTTGATCATATGACAGATCGGCCATGTTTGGCGATTCTCGTGGCTTAGTCTGAGCAAAGCTTGTGCCCCGAAGTCACGAGATACATGCACTGTGTTGCATTTCCAAAGGCTCTTAACAGCCAGCTGTCAATGGACTCCTGTTGTCTGATGGCCAGGTGCTGTATACAGCCAGGTATATGTGCTCTTACATGTAACCACTGTCACATGAAAGCACGGTAATCTTGACAATTAACAGTAGTAGGGCCCTGTGCTCAGCTTTGTCCAGTTGAGGACAGATGCCTTGAGCAGTTGTTGTAGATTAGTTGGCAACAATGAAATCATGAAGCAGCCATGAACTAGATGACAGCAGATCATTTAAATCCCCCTCAAGCAAATAGCAGCTTCTGGACTGTAAGAAATGTTTCCAACGCTTGGCTCAGCAGACATGATACTGTTGGCCGTCGCAGGTATCAACCAGTGCCATCATATCAGCAAACTCCCTGAGGCAGGAATTAAGCCCCCAAACAACACACTTGAACCTGCTGTACAATTTCAAGTACATTAAGTCCGTAAAGTGAGCTGTGCGCGTGCTTGCAAAGGCAATTACATACGCGTCGGTCGACATGATTAATGGTTCTTAAACAAAGCCCTCTCCTAGCCAGTTTTATTAATGGCATTCAATGACTGCCAGCCACTTAGTGAAAACAAAGTTGCCTCCAGTTTATTATCAACCAGAGCATCTCGGTTGACAGCTGCATGTACACTCAAACACAAAGTTGGAAAGCTTTTGCTTTTATGGTGTTGCAAAGTTGTACTGAAACAGAACCAAACTTTATCCAGATGGGGCTTTTGAGGAAGAAATTGCAAAAAAAAAAAGAAAAAAAAAGCTATTGAGTTTGTTCTAATGACTGACAAAGGCAGTTTTGCAATAAATCCTCTACCAATATTACCCTGATAATTGCCGAGGACTGACAGGAGGCAGGTTTGTAATAAATCTTCCGTCAATATTGCTGGAACAAAAACAACTTAATCAGTTGACTTAATCAGTTGTTTTCTCAATTCCTCTTACTCTATTTGGCAGTAAGCTACTCTACCAAATGCCACTCTCCCACTAGGATGTCATCAATCCTGACTCTTTCATCATGATTCAATGCTCCCAGAAGCAATTTATATCAAGGCTGAGTACAAATTGGTTAAGGACAGGATGCAAACACAGCCAGAAAACCCAGCCACTTGAAATATACAGGTACCCATTAGAATCACTGGCCTTGAAGTGGAATTGAATACATGTATGTACATGTACTCTGTAGATATATGTAGCAATGGGGCAATGCTCTGTGGCAATGTGGACATGAGTTAATAGGGTTGGAGTTGGCACTTTTGAGAACAAAGGAATTCACAATTCACAAGGGCAAACAGGAGTTCTTAACGAAAACATCGAAGTGGAAACAGACTACCCTGTCACCGGCGACACAGATACGGAATCAGAGAGCTCTGAGAATTGCATGTTGATTGTGAGTAGGCAATCGGCTGTGACTCTGTGAGTCTGTAGCCATCTATGAGGTGGGATATGTGAGTGGCCAATATTCTGCACTTCTCCTAGTCATTCAGTGCTGTAGGGGTATTCCATGTCCATGTTTTTTCTATATAGTTTTCCTGAAAAGCACAAACACAATCCTAACAATGGCAAGAGAAGCAGATCCAAACTTTGACAACCTTTTGGAGATTAAAGCAGATCTATGTGCAAATTTGGACAATGTAAAAATCATAAAGAGCTCAGCTTGCAAAAGTATGCACAACAGCAGAACAGATTCATTGAGTCACCTGCACATGTGAGGCTTACTGAACTCGATTTGATCGCTTGCATTTCTTGCAACTACCCCTCAACAGAGCCAAGAATGATTGCCTCAGCTGCTTGTACTTGAAGCCATACAAGAGTGGGTTGATGGCTGAGTTTAACACAATCATGAGCACAAGCCATGGCTTCAAAAATTTGGGTTTATTCAATAAGCTTATGTCGATCACGACCTCCCATATTTTTACCGGAGACACAAGGATAAAGAAAGCTGCTGTGACGAGGGCCATTGCTCCAGTAACCTTCTTGTGGGCCGCAAGCAGCTCTTGCACTGATCCCTGGACTCCCAACTCCTCCAAGTTCTTGACACTTTGTTTCAGGTTGCTTAGAATCCTCACGTACATCCACAGCATGGCTGCCATGGCTAGGACAAGCAGAATTGTTGACAACACATGAAACACAGGGTAATACCCTATGCCATTTGGGTCATACTCAGAACTTAGGACAGCTAACACAAAACGAGGCAAGTCTACAACTACAGGTGTTACCCATACAGCCAGCAGCATTGCAACAATCTTCCCTCTACTGAGGTAGCGACTGTAGTGCAACGGTCTGGTGATCCCGATGAATCGCTCAAATGTTATCAGTGTGAGACTGAGCACAGAGTGGGCCAAAAAGCATCGGGCCAAGAAAACTACAAGCTCTCGACATTTGCGCCAGTACATCAACTCTGGGAACCATGTCTCATTGTGAGGACAATCTACAAGTAACAACTGCTTGATCACAAAGTGGGATGAAACATGAGCCACTGAAGACAATGTGTCTGCCACTGCCAGATTCAGAATGAAAAAGTTGGTGATGCTGTGCAGGGCCTTTGTGCAACATACGGTCAAGCAAACAAGAGCATTTCCGATGAATCCGAGAAACCCTACCAGGACATACAGTGCATCAAAAATGGTGATGCTGTCATCAATACATGGGCTATCGGTCGCATTCATGTCTGGTGAATTTGGAGAACGTTACCCTCGTAAGACTGCTAGCGAGTATTCCATCCAGCAGTGAGCCAACATCAGGAAAGAAGATGAAACTCGTACATGTACATCACATCCTACTGAGGCATTTACTGATTTCTTCCTTTGAATGCAACATTTAAGTATCGTGTTACAGTCAGCTTGCCAGAATACACCAGGCAGTGCTTTACATGTAGCCTGAGGGCAGACAGCTAGACAGGATAAAGTGTCCTGTCTCACTGATACGTTGACTCAGGTGCTGTAAAGGCAACAATATGTGCTGTGTGCATTCTCTGCAATAGTAGTGCCTGTCAATCCAAGTCAAATTTATCAATTTAGACGCTGCCTTGGCCCAAACTATTATTATTTCTGGTAATGACACCAAGCATTTAATTCAAAAGTGCCTGAAGATTGATTGATTGGTAGCAGTCACCCAACCTTCTTTATTAAACACTTTGGCAACCACGATAGTAACTTACAGTGAATGATTCATAC